GGTTTGGGTCCACTCCACAGCCCACTCATATCAACATCAAACTGTTACACAACTTGCACTACTGGCCTTCAAGTGACATCCTACGCCAACTCTCTATTTTTGGTAACACTCAGTGTTTGAGGCTTGATGGTTTCCCGTTAAAAGAATAAAGTCCCCCATTTAAAAAAAAGTAATGGGGTGAAAAAAGTGGATTTTGTTGCAGGGTAGTTTTGTTTTCTTGTGTTTCTTCTAGATGCTTGAATTTTTTGAAAATCATTTTTTTAAGGTTTCTCCAGCCATGCCTGCCTGTTGCATATTCCTGTCAAAATAGAAGTACTATATCCACAACTAGTCAAAGCCTTGTGAATAATGAGCTGTCCCTTGTACCAAACTGTGCTTCTCTTCTTTTTTCTTTCTTTTCTGTTCCTTCCTTTTGGAAAACTAGGCATTTATTGAGAAACTCAAAGCAAAAATGTTCAGATATAAAACTCAGACTGATGTCAAGTGAGAGAATTTAGTCTCCAACTACAGCAACCAGCACAGCTAAGGTTCTGAACAGATTATTAAACCCACTGAATGCTTTGTACAGGTAAGTTCTGTGCAAATGCTTCAACAACACAGCTGCTCAGCATTCAGATGGTCTGCAAACGTGATGCTGATATGTGCCTTTTATGTAAGAGGCAGAGGGACTGCGAGATAGAAAGACAGACAGAGAAATAAGAAATACTGGGAAAAAAAGAAGGATGTGGGTGTAGGGTTGAAATGAGATGTCAACACGCCAACAGCAATCTTCCCTGAATGCTGAATACTGTTCACTTAGCCACAAACAACAGCACAGCAGTGGTAACAATGTTAAACTCCTGCGCAAATTAATTTGCTGACTCCGAGGCTTAAAGAGAACAAATGAAGTCTCTCATTTTGTTTGTTTCTTGGTCTAACGCTCCATCCTTCCTCCTCCCCTTTCTTCTCCTCTCCTTTCTTCTCTCTTTCTTTCCACCATCATGCATTCTTTCCACATTTTTGCATAACATGTTCAGTGATGCATTCACATTTAATTCACAGAGGTCCTGGGGGCGAACCAAAGCAGGTTTTAGACACAACTGCCAATCTACTTATCCACCCACCTATTGCTGGCTGCAGAGCCAGAGTGTACCATGGAAACACACATTTGCTGCATTTATGTGTTGTGCTTCCTGTGGATGTATGTGGTGAGTAAATGTATATGCTCATAGAGGAAAATCCCATCCACAAATCAACAAACAATTAAAAAACAGCCTTTAGCGTCAATCTTCAAAAATCACGTGTCAGACAAGAGGTGTGGCATCTAAGGATATGAAGCCTTTAAAATGCATCAACAACACTGATAGATGTTGCCTCAAGCAGCTTCAACATGCATGAATGTACCTACTCTACCTGACAATCAATGTCTTGAAATTAATCTAATGGTTCACCAGCAACAGCCTAGTGGAGTAAAAAATTAATTCCATCAAAATACATGCAGAATCAGATGCTGAGAATGATCATAGAAACCCTTTATCAATGTCTCCAACACAAACAAGCACAAACATAATGATCATAGGAATAACTGAATTACATTAACGATCTTGTATTTTTAATGTTGGCAGTGTAGATTTGGAAGAATAAGGCTGGAGATATTCTATATTTTCAAACAAATCCCATGAAATGCCATGATTCAGTAGCCTTACTTATTGCCAATGCGCAATGTATCATTTTCCCTCTGTGTCACAGAGCTCCATTGTGTTCAAAATGTAAAAAAAAACGGACCCACATCGTTGCATGGGGTAACATTTTCCTACATTATAAATGATGAAAATGGGCATGCTAGTTTATTAGGGCTGACCACACAAACACCATCCATCTGCTGGAACTGTTCACCAGAGCACTAAATGCATTATCGTATAACTGAAAATAGTCTCAATAAAAAGCTCCCTTCTTAGTGCCAGGTTTTTTTGTCCGTGGTGGCCAAACTGGGCCACTGACTTCTGACTCTTCACACACACACGCTAATTGGAAATGAAAGGAAGCTACAAGAGCGAAGAAACTTTTGCTAGATTTAAGCCAAAAGAATGGCTTTCCTGAAATGAAGTTGCTGACAATAATTTATTTTACAACGTAAAATCTTCAAGGACACAGTCATCAAATGAACCTCTACAAATGCATCACCGCTTGCTGGCTGCTGTTTTAAGACAGAGACACACACAATCTACACATATAGCCATACCACACCATATGGCAATAGATTACTGTTCATTGGAAAAACATACATGCAATACATTAGAGAAACACTTACTCACTAGTCATCTGCTCTAGTACTAAATGCCAAACTCCACATCAGTGCTATGTTTAGGTTCTGTTCCAATAACAGCGTTTGGAGAGATAATAGGGTTTAGACCTATAGCAAAATAGGCAAATCAGATATATATACTGTATATACCGGTATATAGCAGCCGGGTGCTGTATTCAATCATGCTAAAAAGTAGTTATGCATCAAACTGTTGGTGTAGCTGAGAATGTAGTAAGCAGTAATGGGCAAGGCAAAACTTGTGTACTGAATACCAGATTGTGTCCATGTAACTGTAGACCTGCTACTTAGTAATATGTACATGTTTTCTTGATGTTTCAAATTATTATGCAAGCAGTGAAATAATAGTCTGAGGAAATAAAAAAATCCACAATATCTTCAATCATAGCAATGTAACACTTGAATCCACATTACACAGTGATCCAGTATAGCTTTTCATACAGCAGACATGATATAATAAGAAACGTACAGGTGTAATTAATAATCCTAACGATGGCTATGCTCCATTTAGGTGAGCCAGCTCTGAGGTCCTGGTATTGTGTGTCCTGGCATGCTGTGAGCCATCATTAATGTTATTAGTCACACCTGCACTTTTTTCTCAGCTGACACTGCTTTGAGAAAATATCTATTAGGTAGATAAAGAGACAAACAGGAAGAAAGCTTTGTAAGACGTTTAGACACTACGGCCAAATCAAAAGGTTGCGTCCAAAATCACACACTCACTCCCTGCTCCCAACATCAGGAGTTCTGATGTCACTTACCCGCTGAGAACGACTATGAAGTCCATGACATTCCAGCCGTTCCTCAGGTATGAGCCTTTATGGAAAACAAAACCAAGAGCCACAAGCTTGATCCCCGCCTCAAAGCAGAAGATCCCAATGAAGTAAGGCTCTGTCTTCTCCTGTGGAGGTAATACACAAGAGATGGGTCAGTAAAAACGAATGTTTCGCTCACACTGAAGAATGTCAGATTATAGCTGGTTGGGTTTATGGTAAAAGGTAAATAGACTTAAACTTGTAAAACTTTATTTGAGTGCTCTGACCACTCAAAGTGCTTTTTACACTACATGTCAAATCCACCCATTCACGACACCACATTTACACACTGATGTCAGCAGCTGCTATGTATGGTGATCAACAATTCTGTTCCATTCACATACTGCTGGTGTAGCAGCTGGAGCACGTTGGGGTTCAGTGTATCACCCAATGGACTCCACCATACAATGAAAATACTCAAATACTGAAAGTTTTACTTCTTAGTGACATTTTGGAGACCCCTCTCCCCAAATACAGTCTGGAAAAGACAGACTTTATTTGGGAGAGAGGGTGTGACTTGCAACAAAGCTCCCCGGGCAAGCTCAAAATGCTGACATGGCTATTATCTGGCTCTGTAGCTGTTCGGCTGTTCTCCTTCTTCTTCAAACTGATATTTTAGGGCTTTTTAAGGTAACAAAAAGTGAAGTATGTTGCATAAATGTTTGATATTTGCATTTTGATTTCTGCTTTGAATTTTGTAGAAATGTTTGTTCTCGGTTTAAAATTTAATGACAGTGTTGCAACTGTTTTGTTTTTTCACTTTATCATAAGCACACCATGAAGCCCCATGCATGAAATGTGCTACATTTATTAAAAACGTACTTTACTTTACTTTACATGACCCGGTCACTCTGTGTATATAAAGGGCTAAAACTAAGTTAATGATAGAAAGAAAAATAAAGTTTAAGCTAATATCCCACTCATTTCTATCAAAAAGGCTTATAGCAAAATATGCTTGCAGAAGCAGATTTTCCTACTTCAGTTTAAAGTCCAACAACTTGTAAAGTCTCTGTCATTCTGGTTGTCTTTTGTAATTCAATACCAGCTCACTCACATCCACATGTCAATGTGTTGAATATGTGAGAACACAGTAGGTCTCACCAGTCTCTTTGCCATGGGGGTCTTATCCTCTCCAGGGAGGTGCTGCTCCAAGGCCAGGACGACACAGTTGGCGGTGATGGTGGCAAGGATCATGTACTCAAATGGTGTAAAGGCGCCATAGTTAAGGAAAGTACGTTTTTCACAATAGAAGGACAAAACTAACACATAGAAAGAAAAGAATAACGGGCAAACATCAATAAAAAAAGAATCCTCGTAATAATTTTTCTGAAACGTACAACACTGGAGCAGGAGTTCAGGTAACTTCATTACACAAAGAGGTTGCATTTTATGTAACAAAAGAAATCAGTAACCATAAGCCTGATCGTTATGCATACATCATTATTTCTCAAAAATCTATCATGTATGCATGGTGCATTAGAAAGGGGAAAAAAAGTATAGATGGATGGATGATTAAATGACAGATGAATTATTGCATGGTTCACATTCTCTGGGACTGGAAGCAATCTGTTAGAGATTGCAGTATCCATGGCAACCTGCTTTTAAAAGTGCTTTTCATGAAGAGAAAAAGAGCAAATCAGGGAAAGATAGAGAGAGAGAGAGAGACCGCTGTGAAATCACCTTGGCCTGGCTGGATTAACCGCACAAAGTACAGCAAACAGTTCTTATAAATCCTTTCCGCTGATTTAACACAACACTCTACAGTTCACCACAAACTCACATCTTAGGACTCTTTGTTACTTAAAAAAAAGCAGCCATGGTTTAATCTTCAACTGTTTTTAAAGTAAAGTCTCAAAAACTTGCAGGAGCTAGTGCCGGGCAAGTAATCGAGCTTCAATAGTAATAACGGTTTTGGCTTCCCACGATCATGAAAACAAGATCATCTGGATTAAACCATTACTATGAAACATGCCATGTTGGGCTTGTTTTATCGGAGATGGACTAATACAAAATAACTTGCAGAATTTGTAACTTGGTCGTGGCTGCCCTTTAAGGCATCACAACAATATACGGTATGTATCTAAATATTTGAAGTTTACTCAAAGTGTTATATGACCAAACAATAAAGGATCAAAAAATGCTCAAAGGTAAAAGCTCCTTGACTCCTGCCACCACAACATACTTGGCTTTTCAGGACAAACTTTCCAACGCAACCGCCTATCCAACCAGCCCCCAGAGACAAAAAGTAATAATAGAGTCCAACACATTCATGCTATCAAAGGACACGCACCCAAAAACAGTGTTAGAAAGAAAATGGTCAACACTTTGGACAAGCGTTACTTGTGCAATATTAGTGGCACTGCCTGCAGTATATGATGAATGTCATGGGGATGTCGTTACAACAGAGTATTTTGCCATCACAACAGATCTGTGGTCAAGGCGCACCATGGGGCCATATAAATGTCTCCAAACTGCCTTTTCCCTTAAGAACAAAAGGGGCACAACATCACTGAAGGCCTGAGGAAGGGTGATTGGTTTTGTCCCTGGTTCCATGTTTCAAAGTGTTATTGCTTATTTTTGTTCAGTATATTCAAGTTTTTGGGGTGATTAACCCTCTGGTATCTTTTGCTTTTACGACCCTCTTGAGCCATGCGTGGACAAAAATGTCCACTTCCAAAAACATTTATAAAGATATTATAAGTCTATACTGTTCCCCCACTTTTTGGATTTGATCCTTGTAATCAACTTCAGATCTTATCAAAACTACCAAATATTCAATTATTATCAGGATTTTAATCCCTTTAAATGCCAGTTTAATTACATGATGTTACTGTTTTTTTTCTTTTTTCTATATAATGGGTTTTTCTTTTTCTTTTATTTAACCAGGAAAGAAAACTCATTGAAAATCTCTTTTTCAAGAGTGTCCTGGCCAAGACAGGCAGCAGCACAATTAACAGAGTTTCACACAAACAACGAGCAGTCAAACATACCAAAAAATATATATACATCATTGGACATTAAAAGACAGAAATAACAAATCTGAATAGCAAATGTCAATATCCTCCAATGTGATGGAGGGCTAGCGGATTTTTTTTTTCAAATACAGTCTTGGATACTTCAAAGATAAGTTACAACATTGATGTAAATGCACAATTGTTTTTTGTGCAGTGTCAGATTTTAAATGTATCACCCTCTTGAGCCACTCATGGACAAAAATGTCCACTTCCCAAACCTGCTATAAAAATAATAAAGAATAATATGTTTTAAAGTCCACGAGTAATCATGTTTAATAATCTTGATCTAAATATCAATCAAAATAATTGTTATCATGATTCTTAATCAAGCAGCTCTAACAAGAGCATTAAAAATTCAACTAAAGTTCAACTATAGACAACAGGTAGTAGGCTGTGAAAGTGTATTTAACCTAAAACAATAGAACATTTTTCCAATGCGCTGCTTATCATTTAGTTGTTCGGCTCATTTTCTTGAAAGCCTTTTGTATCCTGCGTCTTTGTGCTTTAAATTGATGTAAATCCGTTTTGAATTGTTGGTCCAACAGAGAGACAGTAAGGTGTCCACGTAGCTCTCAGTAATGCACTATTTCAACAATGCTAAAGCTTGTCAAAATAGAGAGAACTGAAAATGGACAATTTCCCACTTTATCTGAGTTTGTTGAATCAAAATAAAAAGATTAAAATATATATATAATCAAGTCTCAACTTCTCACTACTTGTGATCTGCTGCTTGTCCTTGTTTCATGTTATCAAAAACTGCACATCGTTGGGTTTTGGTCTGTAGGTCGCATAAAGCAGGCGATTGGATCATGTTTGCTTTGGTTGTGGGACAGATTTTCACTAATTTCATTTATGAATTGATTCATAAGAACTTTTAAGATTAATCAGGAAAATGTAAATCTGCCAACAACTTCTGTGTCTGATTGTTTATGCTGGGAAAAATCAGGCTTGACATAAAATCATTTCTCCTAATCTGTCTTCACTCTCTGCATTGGTACAGAACATGTGTATGTCTGGACAAAGATGCATCAAGTCTGACTATGTGCTTGAACACTTGTATGTGCTTGTGGCTTTCAGTGGTCCCAGTTCCCATGAGGCAGCTGCTTCTTGTTATTAATTTTCCTGCCATGACAGAAATGGGGTCACTGACTCACAGAGGAGAGCGGTGATGGGGGCCTTAGGGAGCCACACTGACTCACATTGACAAGTCCACATTGTTGCCAGTGAAAGCAGTTGAAAATAGCTAAAGTGGGAAATACTTAATAAATCTCGCCCACTCTGTCACTACCAGTTACCTGTTACAATGGAAGCCAGAGTGCATGTTTTATACCATTACATCAGTTCATCATTTTGAAACCTCTGCATATTTTTAGATACTTTTAATTTTTTCTAAGTACCTATTAACTTGTTTCTTTTTTTTTTTTACATTTGAATCAGCTCTTAAAACATGGGATTGGGTAACAGAGTGGTTTTATCTAGGCAACTTTACACCAGGGTTAAGGGGAGATATAGCCTCGTCACTAAACTGCACAGCGCCTGTTAAAGTCTCTCTGCACTGTAGGAGGGCAGTTTTGAGAGATCAAATCGAAATAATCGGATGAATAAGCAGGGTTTTTACAGCCCATTCATTGTGTATGCAGTCGATGAGAACTTTCTGCACATGTGCACTTCAATTCTGTATTCTACAAAAAGTATGTCTGGAAGCATGGATCTCATGTGGCTTTCTATATAAAATGGGAAACATGTAATGACAGCATTCGCTTTTCATTCTTCTTTAGCGAAGTTGGATTTGAAACGGAAACTTCAGAGCCCATGTCCTTGTAGCCAGATAATATCATTGTCATGGCGATGGATGCAGACACCTCAGAACCATAGACAGAACTTATTTATAATGATACATTTGATTCTAAGAGGTGGTGGGGGGGGGGGGTTAATAAGAATAAGAAAGAGGATAACCCCAGAGTTAACCAACTAGCTTTAATAACAGGACAGAAAACTGTGTTCTGTGTTTTCAAATGGACTGATTGAAGAAAAAAGACTAGCAATGCTACGATGCTGTGCTAACAGTCAATAACTGTACTGCTAATCCTGCCAGTGTTTTGTTAAAGAGCCACTCTGAAGATGAATGATAATGCTGGAATCCAAAGTAAACTGAAGGTCTATAAGGAAGAGCTTTGTAAAATGGTGTTTACGAGGTGATATCAATGAGTGGCTTTTTATTTACAAGTAGCCTCTCAAATATGTGCTATTCTGAATGTCAATGTTTTGTATATTAACTTTTAAACTAAACTGCAACTGACATTAATTGTCAGCTTAAATCGCTTCATCGGCTTCTATATCATCTAGCATTTAATACATTAATGTTGTGGCACAAATGTGTTGGAAATAGCTCACTAAATGTCCTAAGGTCAAACCATGTTTAGTCGGACCAACAGCCCAAACCAGTAAAGATTCACTTTATAATGAAGACAAAAAAATCACCACAAACAAGAAGCTGGAATCTTGAACAATTCAGAGATAACCACTTGCAGATTCATTCACTTTCGCTGAGTGATCTTTTCTAATTACGTCTACGTTTGAAGTAAGCTGCAGCACGACTTAAGTATTTGAAGTTTCCAGAAATGTGCAATCCTCAGCAAACACCAAGCCTACATTAATGTCTTCAAAGTGATGTTCTTACTGCAACTCTGACAGTTGTTAATGGACTGTGATGGATGACATAACTACAGAAGGCTACAGGTGGTCTCCATTTTGTACGGAAAAAAACCAAAACACTGGCTCTCTGGTAATCAAACTCTGTACAGCTCACCTTTACAAATACTGATGTGAAGTAACACTAAGGCTAGGATTCTTTTAAAGTCCCTTAATTTGTCACTTGCTTACAAGATAAATCTAATCCTCAAATCGGCTGAAAACATCCATCCTTGTTTACAGAGTCCATAAATGCATCTTCAGATGTATTGTGTTCCTCTTGCTAACACTTTTAAACAAAGAGATGCAGCAGATCCTCAGAAAATGTGGCCCTTTCACCCTGAATAATTACTCAAAGCTGCTATTGGATAGTCAAAGAGGTTGCACTTTCTGTCAATCAAGTCAATGATTTAACATATTACTATAGCACACTTTCATAAACCATAGCTTCTTTAACATTGCTCTATTGTGCAGAGACTTTGGCCTACAGTGTGAAATAAAAGTCCCAGTAAACTTTTGATAGATGTCCCACTGTAACACTCCCAATGTTTTCATGCAGCAACATACCATCAAAGAAAAAAAAAACACTGCTGTGAATCCATATGAATCTATTTTCACTTGGACACTATTCGCAAATATCTGGGTCTCATCCAGTCAATATTCTGACATGTGCTGCTTTTACAGCCCACGATACACCAACAGTACTACTGGCCAGCTCTCTCCCACATACCTCTGCCTCTGTGATACCGACAGTCACATTACAGAGCTGCCGGTGGCCAGCTAGTCTTGACCACTAGACCCACTCCCACACAGCACACAGAGCCTGTGGTTAGATAACAGAGGGAGACTGGCATGCTGCACTGAAGGGGGTGTAAGACAGGAGGAGCAGTAGGCAGATATGGCAACTGAGTAATGTTTTTTCAATTGTTATGATATTGAAATGTACTCATTTTTCAGGAAAATCCCTCCTAACATGATTATGGTGAATAAAACTAGATTAGAGTATTGGATTGTTATGTTTGTCCTGTATATAATCAACATATATATTGCCGGCACTCTTTGTTCACATCATGAGTTCGCTGCAGAAAAGATAACGTCCCTCCTAGTCTTTGTTAGATCTGCAGAAGTTCGGGAAGAACAAAGTGTTGGCCAATGCAGCAGCAGGAAGCAGTGAAACGCTGCCTGCTTGATTTGAACCGACACCTACTCATGGCCAGGTTCATATTCCAATGAGCACTAAGGCAAGCAAGAGATGTGCCTACATGCCACCCCCACAGTGAGCAGAGCCGCTTCTAATGATCACCACATGCTAACTTTGTGTTTGCTGCCAGCACATGGAGCCCACAGATGACTCTAATCAGGGCAGGTTACAGTTAGCAGAGTTATGAGAAGGTTAGGTGCAGCTGTAGGAATTTAAGAGCTTCGTTTTCAATATGACTCAACACACAGTTAGTGTGAATGGAGTTTGTTCTGCAGTCAAACACTAGACATAAATGATGCCAGACACCTCCCTTTAAAATCTTGCAAAACACACCGACCCCATTGAGACTGAAGTTTACAGACAGCACTTTAAAATGCACTTTTCAGTCATTCAGGGGTGGATGGGAATTGTATTCTTATGCTGCAGCTGTTCTCGTGCTGCTTATCGCTCTCCATGGTGCTGAACTTACATCGACCTACCATGCATTTTCTGTCAAGCAAACAGCAGAAAACCACTTTAAACTTAACTCTCGTGTTGCGTATGGAAGGATATGGCCACTCAATGATTCTCCGTGCGTATTTCCTAATGATGTTGTCCTCTGCGAATATGAACAGCGACCTGTTGATGGTGAGGCAGTTCTGCCGGTGGGGGACGGGGTTGTACAGAGCCATGGTCCGGGCCCGCTGCGCCTTCGCTTGTTTCATAGAGGCAGTCAGTCCCGCCGCAACCGCGTCCTGCGAGTCCCCGCCGTGCTCCACATCCCCATCCCCGGAGTCCACCGTGGTGGGAGCGGACTCGTCTCCAAACCGAGCCATTCTACAAAAAAAGATAAGGAGACCCAGGCTTAGACTTTTCAATACAGAACGAATTCTACTAAAGAAAAATGTGAAACGGAGCTGTAAGTAAAAGAGAAGACACCTTCAATCCTATGACAGCTTTTTGAGCGCCAAAAATCTCCTCGAAGGCTGCAGATTATTTCACTTCATATCCGAAAGAAAACTGGATTTTATCATTCGAATGGCTCTTATGTTAGGGCAAAAACATCCATTAACTTAACGACGACTGCAAAACCACAACATCTCCGTTATCCCATCTGTTTTACAGTGCGTTGCAAACAGCTCTAAACAACTTTTAATGTGCCCGCGTCTCTAAAGTCAAGCAGAAGAGGGGAGGAAAGGATCCACCAAGTTTAAATCTTGCAGTTTTCAATCAACATCCAAGCACGATTTGATCTGAAAAGTCGAAGATCACTCTGCGAAAACCAGCTGGAGACATCCGAGATAAGTCTTGGCAAACTTTACGCATCTTCTTCGAGCCGAAAAAAACTTGACAAAAAAAAAAGGGAAAATCTCGTGCGAAAAAGAAGCCCATGTAACGCGTTTAAACCAGATTTTAAAAATCTACTCTCGGGGTTATTGTCTAAATCCGTCTTAAACGTTGCTATAGATCATCTCGAATCGCTAGATCAGAGGGATCTCTCCATCCTTTCACCTGCTGGGAAACTATCACGCTGCCAGGAGCGCATGAGTCCCCTCCTCCTACAGTTACATTTCATGATGGCGATCTCCAAATCCATCTGAATGAAAGCCGGCGGAGAGGAGGTACATGTATTTTGTTACCATAGCAATTAGAGTTTGCGAACAAAAAAATATTTGCCTAACAAAAACGGGAGCCTATATACAGCAGGATGTGTGGGTATGTGGCTCCAAAACAATTATGTAAAGATGTTAGTGGGTGCAGCAGCAAGAGGAATAGGTGTGAAAACACATTTAACACCAATACTAGGAGGACAATGCACAGAAAAAAAGGCAACAAGTGGGCAGATGAGGATAATTGAACATTAAAGTTGATTTATAGAACAGGAGTTTGACTCATTTCCCCCCCTCATTGAAATGCTTCCAATACCAGACAATCAGACAGCATTGTCATATTTTCATTAATGGAGACAGACTATTAAAACATTTAAAAGTAGGCCACTGTGCTAATATTGGAGTAAAAATAGAGCATGAAATAGATCTTAGGGCTGCTCCCTTTTTGAGGGAGAGGAGAAGAGAAGCAGGGTCTTTTTCGCACTCAGTGCCATAAGTGAGACCTCATTAGGCAACTGGGCTCTCTCGCTCCATCTGCTGCTCTACTCCCTTCCCCATGGTTTCTTCAAGATACCACTTCAGCTCCCACACACATCAGATTATTCAATCGGGGGGCTTATTTGATGCTGCCTCAATTATGGCAATTAAAACCAAAAGCAGACTCTTTCCACTTGAAATCCTGACATGAAATATAACAATGCCGGTATCAAAGTGTGCAGACAGGAGGTCGGGTGGTAGGGGGGTGAAGAGCAAGCCAAGAGAGACTGACAAATGTATGCTTGGCAAACAAGGCAAGATCTAGGGGGGGGAGAAGAGGGGACAGAACATTGATTTAACAGGATCTATGAATAAGTCCCTAATTGAGCTCCAAAAACTCAGACGTGTCTCTGTTCCCTCCTCTCCCTCATCTGCATGAAGCAGGCGGGCGTCATGCAAAGCAGGTGAGCAACAAAAAGGTGACACTGAACTATCGAGTGCAGAGCATAAAAAAGGCAGAATGAGCGCCAGCACATACAGTTTGATGACTGTAAATGCACATAAAGTATCTGCTAAAATATCTTTAAGTATGTAAGTTGATTAGAAAATAATAAAACTTTGTATACTGTATGTCAACCAACTACAATATTTGTCTATCTCTGCAAACAGCGAATATCTCCCTCTTTCTATCTCTGTCTGCAGTGCTCTCTTTGCTGTTGTTTCCATAGCGACATAGCTCTCTTGAATTCCTGCTCCGTTCTTTTCATTTCTGCCAACAAAAGCCATGTTGCACAATACAGCAACCTCTTCCTACAGAAACCTGGTTCTCCCAGCACACAGCAACACAAGCACAAATAGAGACGCACGCTTTCGATCAAGGTCATTGGACGTCTTCCGGAGGCTGACACACTACAGCACAGCCCCGTCTCTACACCTGATGATCAACTACACTGTATAGATTGACCACATGGAGTCTGCTTTTTGTTCGGCTCTTGAGCACAGCCTACTCAAAGGCTCCTAAAAATAGCCGTCTAAACTGCAGAAAAGCTTGTATCTATTTGCTCGGGCCTAACAAAACAAACAAAACAAAAAATCATGGAAAAGAAGAAATGATTAGACTTTGCAGATTGAAGGGTAGTCTACTTTAACGTCTTCCCACAAGAGAAGAACATTTACAGTTTTATGTCCATAGTCTTGAGAAATATGGGCGAAGACAGCTGAAGCGATACTGCAGGTGACAAGCACTGAGCGTTTCAACGCTAATGGACTTACTTTGTGGCAGAACTCTGAAGAGCATTTATATAATTGCAGACAGGTTTTCATCCAACACTGACAAGAGCTAGCATTTTATTTTTCACTCTGTTTCCTAGCAACAGACACTTCTAGTACTGAATTATGTCAGTTTGATTCAGCCAATCAGCCAATAAATGCTGCTTAGTGTATATCACAACAGATTGTGAGTCTACCTTAAATCATATTTACAGTGTGGTGGTTGTTTAGAGCAGTTTAACATGAATTCAGATTGAGAAATTATAATGTAAACATGATGCAAATTTATCAGTGGAGCCCCAAAAGTTCTGAGAATTAAGTGTCTATCTCTAAAAAGTCATATTACTCTTAATTTTGATATCACTCATTAGTTTGGAAGTGGTCTTAAATGTAATACTATGATTTTAGAAAGTATCATTAGTGTCTTTGTTATGTATCTGGGCTGGAAAAGCCAACAATGTCGGTAAAGCTGTACAATTTAGCTCCTATTAGATCCTGCACTGCCTCCCTGCTGCTCTTCTACTTTGATTCCCTAGCATCCCCTAATGGACAAATAACCACAATGCATTTAGAGAAGGCTGTATCAGCTTTTGTTTTACATTTCCTCATTTAACATTTTATATGTTTATGTTAGAGGTACCAATGCAGTCAACACTCTAAATATGAAATATGAAGAAAAACAGACGCACTTCCTGTGTTCTTATTGTACCAATAAATGTTAAAAAGCTGTAATCAATGATGGAGCAGGAAAGAGAAAGACAGTACAAAGTGGATGTGGAGTGGGTGGTGGAGGTAAGTAACGAGAAATCAGAGGATGAAGAAGGAGGAGGGATGGAGTTTGTTAGTGGGTTGGGTTAGGCTGATCGAGTACCACTCCATGCTTGAGTGGTGGGAGGCTGATAAGCAGAGCAATGTGGCTCCATGAGTTTAAAAGTTCACCAGCAAGCACCCTCAGCTACACCGTTAATAACGCTATGTAGGATCTGATTACATTATACTGCGGACGATACTGTTACACAGACCTTAAAAGACCAAAAAAACATCACGTTAGCTGATGAAAGCAGATGGGAACCAATTTTTTTATTCATTGGTGGAACAATAATAATGCTGAAAACAAAGAATTCAGCATATGTGTTGCCACTATGGGGCACCTTTTGTAATAAGAGCTTTGCAGCTAAGCAACAACACAACAATGACAAGTGTTGTACTTTTTACAACAATGGTTAATGATTTTAAACTCTTCCATGTTTTCAGTATTGTAGAGTCCTTTGACCATGAGCAGAACAATGTTTTTAAGAGGGGTTTGGAGTGGGTCCCATGAACAAGGATGCACATGCACACTGTTCCTCCAATAGTTACACATTATTCTGTTAATGACAATAGATGCCAGTGGAAAAGTGTGAAGTATGAGAGCTTGAAAAGTAGAAATGTGAAATGTAGCAGTCTGAAACATGGATGTAAACAGGGCGTGTTTCACATTCACTTTTGACATTTGTCACTGCAGATGCTTTGTGAGGAAGGGAAATACATTGAACAATTTTAGCAACCCCAAGGACACAAAAAATGTTTTGGGTTAGAAGTGAAAGAAACTTAACTACCTCTATTTTTTTTCATCAAACTCCTTAGGTTACCTTGCATTTCCCCTTGAAGATGCTTTACATGGTTTGACAATAGGGGCTCAAAGACTTCAAGCCTGACATTCTTTAACTTTAATTTTAACACCTTTTGAGAATGGAAGGCTATTTACACTTTCAGCAGAAGCCGAACAACTTAAGCAATCATTTTGAAGTCATTTTCTGGCCACATAAAGAATGCAAATCTAATATTCACTCTCCCTTGGCTCTGCGTTTTTCTCCACTAGCTTCTGAGGAAAGTATTTGAACTGAATCTTTTCTCTACTTCATGTAAGTACAATTTATTTAACCCTTTTTGCTTTAATTTAAAAAAAATCACGCGTTCTGTGGCTTAAACAAGGTGGATACGAATCGAAAGATGGAATAAACAGTGAAGTTATGGGCCAATCCCCATCACTACCT